GGGGAAAGAGAGACGGAGAGAGGGAGGGAGGGAGGGAGAGAGAGGGAGGGGGGGGATTTTAGCTTTTTATGTACGTGGGCAGGCAGCTTCTAAGATCTCCCTTCTCCCGATAACCCTTACTCTTGGTGTTTTTGCCCTTGTGTGGTCAATTCCTTCCCCTGGAGCCAGGATTGAGTTTTCTGACTCACTTTTCATGAACAGAATGAGGAAGAGGTGATAGGACGTTACTTTGATATAAAGATTCTATCTTTGGTCTTGGGTACTCTCTCATTCTTGCCCTCTCTTTGATCATCCGTGCCGGGGGAAGCAAGCTACCATGTTGTGAACAGTCCCTCAGAGAGACCCACAGCTGGGGAGGAACTGAAGCCTGTCAAGAACATATGAGTGGGCTTGGAAGAGGACCTCCTGGCAGTGGTACCTTGAAGGGAGATGGCAGCTATAGACCAGTCTTCAGCGAGGTCTTGAGCCAGAGGCACTTAGCTAAGCCTCACCCCATTCCTGACCCACAGAAACTGAGATGATAAACACTCCTGGAGGTAATTCACTACACAGTAATAGAGAACCAATATTCCATGAGTTTTGTATTAAATCAACTATAATTTAAGCTACAAATAACTAATGCAAGAAAATGTGACAATGAATTCAATCATTAGCACCCAGATTTTCTATTTTATCTTTGTCTCTTATCTACTTTTATCTTACTAAACACAATTTTGAGGTGAAGATTTATTTTATTTTTAATTGAAATTTTTATTGAGATAACTGTAGATTCACATGCATTCATAAGAACACAGAGTGATTTCTTGTATACTTTGCTTAGTTTCTGTATTGGGAACATTTCACAACTATAGAATATTATAATCAGAACACTAACCTTGATGCAATCTACTCAATTTACCCATATTGCCTTACTTTTACGTATACTCATTTGTGTGTGTACTGCTCTTACATTTTAATTTTCTCACATACTCAAATTATATCCCTTGGTAATTAAAATCTAACTATCATATTCTTCCTTATAAACGTCTGTATGATAGTAAAAGTTAAGAAACATGATTTCAGAGTGTATTTCACAGCTCTATATTAATAAGTTGAAAATGGATTCAGTAACAGAAAGTAATAAATATCCACTTCTATGTTATATAAGTGTCAAAGGAAAATTCACTTACCCTGAAAATTTTCTTGAAAGCAAACTATAAAATAAAATGTTAACCTTTCCCCAGAATTAATGTCTTTGTGTTTGAAATTCAGATGTGAAATAATACTATTAAATATGGTTGAAATTTTAACACTGCCTCGTTTTCTTTTTATGAAACAAGGGAAAGTTGATCTATCACTTTTGTAACAATACCTCAGGAAATTGACATATCCAGGTTTTTATATTATGGTCAGACAGTGTTAAAATTCATATTTAAACATCTAAACACAACATCCAAGGAAAAAGTCAAGCTGAGTATGAACCATGCAAAGCCAAACACTTTTGCATAAAAGATAAACCTTAGAGGAAAACAAAGGGATACCTACTTTCTGCTGCTAGAAGTCCTAAGAGGAAGGCAGCATATGGACAAACAACAAACAGTGTGATTTTAGAGCAAGCAGGTTATCAAGCCACAGTTGGGCCCATTAGATGAGCCACAAGAAGCACGGTTCCCCAGCTGACCCCAAGGAAGCCCTCATGTTCTGTAAGCACAATCTCTAGGACTGTGTAGGATATCAGACATCAAACACTGGGTTCTATTTTTGACTTCTTTGATTTGAAATATGAGACAGAGTTATTTCCACTTTGAATTATTAAGTAACAAAGCAACAAGATGCATTCTAGTAAATGCATAATGGATGCATTTCAATGTTAAAAATAGAAAGATAGCTTTTAGTAAAAATGTTTTACATTGTAAATGACATACCTAAATGTGTTTGACTTTTCTTTAGATGACAAACTGGGATGCTGATTAGTTGTTAAATTGTGATTTTAAATATTCTTCTTTTCTTAAATGCATACAGTATTTATTGCTCATTATCATAATGAGATTTAATTTCAGAAACAATACGCTCTATTTCGGGAGCAGGCAGCTTTACTATACTTCTATAACTGCAATTTTGTAGAGCAGTAAAATTTAAATAAATGTTGTGGGACCAAATTAGGATTGTCAGTTATTAATTTTGTCAAGCAAGGTCATTTAAAACACTGGCCTACCTATCACTATCATTTCATAAAAAGAATAAAAAGGGCATTTTCTAAAGATGAAATATAAAGATAGCTCATGTCAAGAAAGGGCAGTTGGGCTGGGGATTTAGCTCAGTGGTGCTGCACCTGCCTTGGAAGCGCAAGGTCCTGAGTTTGATTCCTGGTACAGAAAGGGGCGGGGGAGAAAGAAAGAAAGAAAGAAAAAGGGCACTTGCTAATCTTTCTTTGTTCTCTCTCCTTCTAACCCTCCCTGTTTCCCTACAATCCTACCCTATGAGCCCATGTTCTATGATCATTTTTCTCTTTTTTCCATGAGCTTGAACTTTAGATGATGAAAAATGCTTTGTGTTTTGTACTGTAAAACAAAGCAATGGAAATTTAGACAAAAATACTGGAGAGGATAACTTTGGGAATTTAAAATAAATGATGCAGAATTTAGGTGCTGGTATGAATAGAAAAGAATTCAGGCTTGAAAATAATGAAGGTATTTAAAAAATGAAATGAAAAATAATGATAAATAAAAATATAGATATTTTAATTTATGAAAATAAAAGGCTTTGAGTCCAGATAAAATATATAATTGGTTTTCTGCAACCAACCATATACCCACTACTGTTGGTTGGAGAAAAGGATATTTGCTGGCAGATAACTATTTGATAAGTAATGCTGATTATAAATAGCAGACTGCTTTCCTTTCAATGGCTTAGTTTTAAAGGTTAACTTTAGGAATTATTAATAATTCCTAGTAGCTATGTGAAATCTAGGAAAATGTTAGGATTTTCTTCAAAAATTCTGTTTCTGAATATATAAAAATTTCTACTTCCTTTAGGGTAGGTGATTAGCATTAGATGTGTACACAGCAATTTAATTCTTCCATCTTTTATTTGTAGCCCCCAGACAGTGGCATTGAAAAACATTTATGACAGATATTTAGTATGTCAAATGTAAACATAGACTGCTTACAAAGATGATTGATTCAGGAATTAAGAAAAAGAAAAAATAGAAAGAAAAAGAAAAGGTATGACTGCAGGAAAGGGAAGGCAAGAAGGAATGTTAATTTGTGAACAGCTATTATGAAGGCTTGCAGGCTACCTGCAAGATGGTGTATGACATTTCTTTATTTGTTTAATAATCATGTACTGTTTCAACCAAATCGTTTAAATATTGTACTGAAAAAGAGAAAAAACTGGGCAATAAAATACATTTAATAGAAAATACGTATATCTATAAATATAGATAATTCCTTTCTCTAAAGGAAAAATCCAACTCTTCCCAGAAAAGAACACTTGTAAGTTCATTAAATATTTGCTATGCAGAAATAAATATGAATGAATGGCCAACACTGAGGATTAGGTCTGTGGAGCAATTTGCAGGGCTCATGTGCTCTCTAGGCTCCTTTCCAAAGGTGAAAATAAAAGTAGAAATATGGACCTAAGATCTCAAAGACATTTATTCTAAATAAATCCCGAGCATGTGACTATATCATGTAGTCACAGGATAGCATGAAAGCTACTACTGTATCTACTCCCCCTAAATAGGGTCAACTGTAATCTGAGTATGACGATAGAAGGAAAAAGCTAGAACTAATGAAGAGTTACAAGTGGAGGGAACAAAATATGCTGGAAGAAAAAAAAAAGACTGAGGTGAAATGATAAGGAACACTCGGGATCATATCTAGAAACACAACCATGTTCTTGCCTTTCATAGAGTAGGGTTCTGCGTAGTTTCAGGGCAGCATGAGAGGAAGAAGGCAAGGTTTTCTCCTCAGAGTTATTTGTGTTTAAAATTCCCATTTCTGAATGTTTCAGAAACCACCTTCTCTCAAAAGAGGAAGATTCATATCCTGATCAGTGAAAGTCAAAGGAACTGTTTTGACTTTACACAGCTGTTGGAAAGGGAAGCTTTGATCCTGCCATTTTGCACAAGGGGTAGGCATATACTTACTGGTAAGAAATTCTCAGTGTGACGTGCACATATAGACATGAACAGGGGAGAGAAACATAAATACTGACAGATATTCCCGGTGCCAGCGGAGATGTATAAGCACACTCATCCTTTTTATATTGCGGACTGTGGGACAAACAACTCTCGCTTTAGGAAGGGCCATGGGCTTTACTTCTGATGACAATACATGAATGCTGAAGAAACCAGTCTGAGTATAAAAATCAAACTGGCAGTGCAAAGTCAACCACATGACAAATACTGAGAGTTTCTAACAAAAGAAAGAAGAAAAGCTGGGGCCAGAGGACATACGACTAAGGAGTTAAATAAATAAAGAACTACATAAAAAAATTTAAAACTTCAAAACACATTATCTATATATACGCATAAATGGATCCTATAAATTTTTAGTAAATGATTCTTGGGGATGCCACAATGGTTGAAGTCTGAGCATTTTATAAAATGATTTTATGAACACTAGCAGATTTTTTTCAGAAGTACTATACATAGTCCATCAAACAGGTAACTTCTTCCTTTTTGAATACTTGTATACATGTTTTATAGATTTTAGTTTCGTTTTGTTTTGTTTTTTGGTACCGGGGATTGAACTCAGGTTCTTGCACTTGCGAGGCAGTCGCCAGAACCACTGAGCTAAATCCCCGGCCCAATATAGATTTTATATAGAGAGAAATTTGTAAGACAAAGTTCACAAGAGAGCCTTACACTGACAGTTTTGATTCAAGACAGTGCTGTTCCAAAGTCTGATTTAATACAGTGGAGATGGGGAAAAATATTACATCAGAAGTTTTACTGAGGGAAAAAGTAATCATAAATACCCAAAGAGACTGAATACAACACTTCATTAGATGAAACATTTCGAGTATAGAAAGGGGAAGAAGTATCATTGAGGTAAAAGGAAAAAAGTGAGATGTTATTTTGGAGCATTGTTAGTATTAAAATGAAAAGGAACAAGAGAACATGTGGGTAGGATTTGGCTGCTCAAACTTCTCTAGAATCCCTTAGAAGATCTGACTAAATTCACATAAGTGTAGGATGCAGACACCAAGGGTTTTGCAAAGGGAATGAATGAATTACCCAGTTACCTGAGGAGGTAGGGTCTTCAGAGAAATCTGGCAACTCTTCAGGGGGATCCCCATAGAACGAGTTGAATTTGTGACTTGACACAGCGGCTAGTACTGCACCCTAGAGTAAATAGATGAAAAACACATGTTATTAAAACAAACAAACAAACACACAAATATAAAAGTGAATATAAATAGTTATTTATCTTAAGGATTATTTAGAAAATCAAATATACAAGAGATGCTGGCTAGAAGAAAAGTAGCTTTTAAAATAATTTTGAATTTCTCTAAATAAATTACATATGCATATACCAGAATAACATTGCTGGGAAGTGCAAAAGGGTATGAAGTAATTATATTGTGAAGCCAAACATATGCCACATAACGGAAAATTCTATAGTTATTATAAAATAATGCTACAGAAAGTTGCTTAATGAAGTGGATGTATTATACAAAAATCTCATTTATGGATAAAAAGGCAACATAAAAGAGTGAACATAAATGAGAATGCTAATGGTAATAATGATTACTGGGTCACTGGGTAGTAGGGTTATGAGTCATTTTTCTCTTTTCTTTTATCCTTCTTTCTGTGTGTGTGTGTGTGTGTGTGTGTGTGTGTGTGTGTATGTTTTGTGGTACTGGGAAGCAAACTCAGGATTTTGTGCTTGTGAGGCAGGTGCTGGAACCACTGAGCTGAATCCCTTTCTTTCTGTTTTTAGCAGCGACTATGTGTCACTTTTTACATGGATTCTCAATCAGGCCACATGCCAGAATCACCTACATGTGACTCTTAAGCCATATGCATAGTTAGGTCCTAGTTGGGAATCACTTTGATATTGAGGTCTGATTTCCCTTACACCTGTTAAGCAGAAAAAGGATGGGAATTACTGTTTCAGTAGCAGGAAGAATGATACAATTTCTGGGTTTTTGTTCCCTGGCTCTTCCCTTTCTAGCTACCCGGTACTGCTTGATTACATCATGTAACCTGTAAGCTTTCTTATCTGTAAACTGAAAATATTAGATCTGACATACTTTACCTAACCTTATGGGGTTGTCAAAAGCCATAATATGTAGGAAAGTGCTTTGCAAACTGCAAAACATTTTGTAGATCATCACTAGTCCTACAAACATATGAAGGCTAAAATTCCAGCAGAGCCATTTGCTGGTTTAGGCAGTTTAAGTATCAAATCACCTAAGTTGTCTAACTCTATAGTAGTCTCTGGCTGAATTTTAAATACTGAACTCTTGATTTTTTCTGAAAAAAGAAGTTAAATCTCTTATGTGTGTAGGTATTTGCTAATAAATACATGAAAAGAGTAACAGAAATACATGCGCACAAAGTTTATTTTTTTTGGGAGTCATCCCAGAGTTTCTTTCTATAAATAGCAATTGAAAAACAGATTGTAGAAAGGGAAGAACAAAAAATAGAAGCAATCTTGATGCTATTATTTCAGGGAAATTTTTAGATTTCCGAAAGCACAAGGTTAATGCAGAAATATTTGGATGTAGAATGATAGCAACTATGTTGAAAAAACAATAGTGAATATTGAGTTCTTCTTTCTATAGAAGAATCTTATTTCACTTTATATATTATACATGTTCCCTAAAAGTTGGGTGGGAACAGAATTTTTGTATATCAAATCGTGTTTCCCATGTACCGAAACTAGAATTTTATTTTTATTCACAAGTGAAGTTCAACTGACTTTCTTTTTTTACCTGCTAGTTTTATATTTTAAGGCCTAGTCTAGCTACTACTATCAGTATGGTGAAACACTGGAACCATTAGAGAAACATTATTTAAAAGAGCCTGAAGAGGTAAAATCTTTTGAAACAATAGTAGCAAATTCCTTATTTGTCTGTCTTATGGTTAACAGTTTTGTTTTTTTTTTTTTGGTTCCTTAAACTCAGTGACCACACATGGTTCAAATACTCAGTGGAAAGCTATGATGTAAAATAGCAAAATAGTTTCAAAGTAGTTCATGTTTCCATATAATTTTATTAGGGTTTGAGTCAATAATAGAGATGGTCCATTGTGGTTCAGAGAGGCTTAGCAGAATGTTAAGGTCACTGCCAACCAATGGTAGACAGAATTAGGTCCACTGACTACTATTCCCAGTTCAAAGATATCTACGATACCAGGTCAACAATTTTCTTTCTATGTAAAGGGCCAGACACTAGATATTTTAGGCTATGAGGGTCATGTAGTTTTTTTGAACCAACTCAATTCCACCACTGTAGCATGAAAGCAGCGATAGACAAAATGTAAATGAATGTGCTGTACTGTGGTCCAATAAAACTTTATATACAAAAAGAGGAAGTAGGCTGGATTTGGTTCCCTGGTCAGTTTGCTAACCTTTGTACTACACTACCGTATTGAGGAGCCTGTAGGTACAATAGCAATAAAAGATCTGATCTTATATGAGTAGTTCTTCAAATTTTCTGCTTTATTAAACCTTTACTAAATACATATGTTATCAGCCTTAACTTAGTATGTATGCATTAGTATGTTTCAGTATTGAAATAATAATTTTGAGCTAAGAAGACTTCATAATCTGTTAAGAGAAGTAATATTAAAGTTATAATTTTTTTCTTTTTAATTGAGTTTATTGGTACATTTTAGGTATACAGTACAGTTACATTCATTATTGGGATCTTGTACCTTTACATGACAGGTCTTGGTTCTCATTTTTTCCCCTTGTCCCTGCCCTCCCTTCACCCTTCCTCCTCTCCCCATTTACAACCATTTTATTTCCATCTTTTCATTTTCTCTTTTCCCTTATTACCTTTCCCCTATGCATCCTACCTTCCCTACACCTTTAGACCTTTTCTTCCCATTTCACAATGTAAGTTATAATTTTCTACTTTTAAATTATTAGAAAACAGATTCCCAAGGCAACTTTTCCTACTGTGTGCAATTCAGGAATGCAAGAGACCAATCTGTAAGTAACAGAAGCATGTAGCTACCTTTGCAATGTACAAAATCAATAAAGGAAAATTATAGAAAGTTAGCAGAAATCTCCCTAGCTTTCTGTATATACAGGGAATAAGTGGTTTTATCCTCTTAATTGAGTCATATAGTTTCAAAACTATTTGCTAAACTGTTTGTAATAAAATCATTTAACTACAGAATATTGCTCCCATTTACATAAAATTTGACAGCTTTACTGTAGGGTAATTTGGTTTCTAGGGGTAGAAATTCATGAAGTAAAGGGGTAACTTCTAGAACAGATTCTCTCCTCAGCCTTTTTGCTAGATAACCAGAGAACTCTGCTCAGTAACTCATTTAATACTTGACACCAACTTTAGAGTGCAGATATATGTCCTTAATAGACCCACACTCCCAGGGTACAGATATTCCTCATAGTCATTCCTACACCCTAATACTCAGTTTGAGAAGATATCAACCTTATATCTAGTCCTTTGCTCAGGTCTACATGGTTTATTAAAGGAAGTAATGTTTCTAGAGGATTTTAAAAAACTAAAGTATTAAAACTGGGCTGGGGATGTAGCTCAGTGGGGCTGCTCCTGCCTCACAAGTGTAAGGTCCTGAGTTCGATCCCCAGTATGGAAGGGAGCGGGGATAAAGTATTAAAACTCTAGAGCTGGTGGGCTGGGGCTGTAGCTTTGTGGTAGAGCACTTGCTTACAAAGCACAAGGCCCTGGGTTCTATCCCCAGCACCACAAAGACCAAAAGTAAAATAACAAAACTCTAGGGCTTAATGTAAAATTAAAGAAGGAAAAACCCCAACATATGAAGCATCTCGTAATCAAAATGGGAAAAAGAAATTTCCATCATCACTCACAGAGACAGAGTAAAATGATGAAAGAAAGAAAAATAAAAAGTATGAGATAATTCAGATCATATGCAGGGTTCCATAAACTTTATCTACATTTTCAAAGACAGTCTTAAAATAATGTTAATGTTTTCTAATTATCCAAACAAATTTCTCACTAGATTTCTGTTGTCTCCTGCAGCCTGCGGAAGGAGGTACGTGTCAAAATGAATGCATGAATATGGAAAGGAACAATTTCTAGATTGTTGTGCACTATTATAATCCATAATAAACAATGTTCTTGAAATGTCAACAAAGGCAATGACTAATGTTTTATGTTCTGACATTAAGAGTCTCACAAGACTTTCAGAATGAGAAAAAGGTCCAACTGTGCAAGTAATAAACTCACTACCAAAAATGTAGGCAATATTATTCCTGGCAGTAGAAAACTGGAAGCAATCTTCACGTCCAAAAGCTGGTTAACTAAATCATGACTTGAACATATAATGGAATAATATAGAACCATTAAACTTTATGCTTTAGAATAATATGGTGGCCTTCTTAAATTACACGTGTCCCTCCAACCTTATATACACACCTAGGGCTGAGGGGAGAAGGGGTCGATCCCTGGTTGAGTGGTGCACTAAGCCACTGCTACTGATGGGAATGTGTCACATTTCTCAAGTGTGCTGAAGTGGAAAGCAGTACTTAAACCAATATTTGTCACAAAGTATTAAAAAAAGTAGAAATTGTGAATTTCCCATGATTTAAAATTAACCATTTAGAAGCATGTAATTCAGTGGCATGGTATTTTGTACATTCACAACTGTCTAGTTCCAAAGCATTTTCACCACCTCCCAAAGCCCTGACACCAATTAAGCAGACACTTCCCAGAACAAGAGAACAATCAACAATTTGATTTCTGGGGCTGGGGATTTAGCTCAGCAGGTTCAGTGGTCTGCCTTGCAAGCCCAAGGACCCGAGTTCAATCCCCGGTACCAAAGAACAAACAAACAAACAAAAAAAACCACCAAACCAAACAAAACAAAACAAAAAAAACGACAAAAAAACCCAAAACAATTTGATTTCTGTCTTTATGGGTTTAGAGACATAACTGTTTATTTTAGATAGTTCATATATATATGGGGTCTCTCTCTCTCTGTCTCTCTGTCTCTGTCTCTGTCTCTCTCTCTCTCTCTCTCTCTCTCTCTCTCTCTTTCTCTCTCTCTCCTTCCCTCCCTCTTTTTGTTTTTTGGTGGCAGGAATCAAAGTCAGGACCTTGTACTTTCGAGGCAGCTCAGTGCCACTGAGCTAAATCCCCCCGACCCCGCTTCTCTCTTAGATTGCAGGCTGGCTGAGCTCACTATCATCCTGCCTCAGCCTCCCAAGTATTAAGAATAAAGGCATGAGTCATTGTACCGAGCTTTACATCTCTTTGTGCACGTGGATACATAACTGTCCCAGTACCATCTGTTGAAAAGACCACTCTTTTTCCATTGAATCCACTGAATTGCTTTGGCATTTTTCCAAAAATTAATTGATCATAAATATAAGGGTTTATTTCTGAACTCTTAATTCGGTTTCTCTAATCTATATATCTACCCCTGTACAATACTAGCCCGACCTTGTCTTGATAAATGTAGCATTATTGCAAAAGCCCAAACTTGTTGAGTTCTATTTTTGATCCTTTTCGTTTCAAGATGTTTTATACATTGGTATATATTATTTTATATATTCTGGGGCTTTTGCATTTCTATATAAATTTGAGGATCAGTTTAAATTTCTGTTGAAACTTTGATAGGGATTGTATTGAATCTATGTATCATTTGGGAAGAATTGCCATCTTAATAATATTGAGTCTTCCAGTCCATAAATATTAAATATCTCTCCATTTATTTAATCATTAATTTTTCTCAGCAATGTTAGTCTACAGGTTTTACACTTTTGATAAATTGATTCCTAAGTATTTCATTCTTTTTGATGTTTTTGGGGGAATGAATTGCTTCTTAATTTCATTTTAAGACTGTTCATTACTCATATATAGAAATATATTGTAATTCAACTTTGTGTACTGATCTTATATTCTGTGACCTTGCTAAATTTGTTATTTCCAATAGATTTTCTCAGTAAATTCCTCAGGATTTTCTATATATGGGATCATGCCATCTGCAAACAAAGAGTTTTACTTTCTAAATGGATGCCTTTTCTCTTCTCTTCTTTTCTTGAATGAATATACATAAAGAGTGTACAGTAGTTTCCCCTTATCTGTGGTTTGTTAGCTATGATTAATCTTGGTATGAAAATATTACATGAGCAATTCTAGCAATGCATGTTTTAAGTAATGTTTATTAAATATATTGTTATAATTATTTTACTTTACTATTAATCTTTTACTGTGCTCAATTTATAAATCATATTTTATCAGAGATATTTATGTATAGGAAAAAGGAGTATATATAGAATTCAGTACTATATATGGTTTCAGGTATTCGCTAGAGGTCTTGGAACACAGCCATTACAGATAAAAGGAAGTACTATATATGTGGGGTTTTTTTTGTTTGTTTGTTTTGGTACTGGGGATCGAACTCGGGTCCTTGAGCTTGCAAGGCAGGCAGCAGCACCACTGAGCTAAATTCCCAGCCCGGAAGTATTATATAATATATAATGGATATGATATCAGATGAAAGTAATGGAAAGAAGAGAGTATTATGATATATTACAAACATATGAACTGGTCTTTCTAGATACTATGAAGGAAACTGATTTAAATAGTGAGAAAAGTCTAGGCAAAATTACTTTGGAAGAAATACAGGAATGGAGATTATTCAGTAAAATTTTAGATGTCCTATACCTGTTTAAAATCCTCTTAAAAACCTTAAATATGTTAAAGTCAATGACTGCCAAAAAGCTAAAATAACATGGAATGCCATTTGGAAATTATAATTGCTTCTATAGAGTACCACATCAAAGGTATTAACATTAAAATCCTTATAATATAAACGGCAATTACAAGGTCAATAGTAAATAATATCTATGGAGAACTCACTACTGCCTGATATTGTTCTCATTGCTGTAATATATTAATTCATTAAACCCTGAATTAACTCTTATCATCCTCATTTCCAGACTACAGAAAGAAATCAAGCCACAGTGAGATTAGATAACTTGTTGAAGGCTACACAGCTAGAAAGGGCCAGAGCAAGAATCACCCAAGGCAATGATTGTAGTGAGAGCCCAGTCTTTCCTTTTTTTTTCTTCTTGCTGTCAACAATAAAGGTTTTACACCTTTGACTAAGTAACAAAATTTTTTTCTACTGGTTTCAGTAAACTTCCCTTTTTAATCACTTCTAAGGGAATAATAAAAATTAGGCTGTTGCCCACCATCAAGAAGCCTACACAGTACCCCGGTAGAAGGATGAGTATCTAGCTGTTCATTTATAAAAATAAGCCATGTGGTGGGCCCTGAAAGCCAGGGAAGTGGGAGTCTGTGTTGTAGAAGTTCACAGGAGGGGTAGAATGAGAATTAGCTCCCCGAGGAAGGCAGGTGCAACATGTGATAAACGGGTGGCTGAACTATCCAAAGGAATGCATTCTAACTACAAAAAGCCAAAAAAAAAAAATTCATTTATGACCTTGCTGATGTTCCTAATTCTAGGTTGGTTGGTGGGTCTTAAAACTTTAAATAGCCTAGCAAAGGGATGTGGTAAATCCACATGACCTGTCTCTGCTGTGACAGCTTGGCCCTATCCAAATGAATCTTAGTCACCACTCTGGCTATTTTAGTCCCAAGTCTGATTTTATGGCACTTGGAGAAGGACAGCATGTCTCTTGTGATGAGGGGCAAGCCTGAGCCCTCTGGAGGTGAAATGTCTGTTGTTGGGCAATGGAAGTTCAACCATGTCTAGGTTAACGTTACAAAAGATTTTGAGAAAGAAGGATAATTAATAGTTTCACAGGGGAGGGACTAACTTCAAAAACAGCTGACTAAACTGCACTCTGAATGCTATTTTTCCTTTTAAGGCTAATCCAGTTTAGATATCAAGGCAAAAAATTAAGTCTTGGAAAACTTCTTTGGGCACCATCTCGATACTGGTACAGTATGTCATTAATAGTTATTTGTGCTAAGGATATTTTTAAAAAGCAAAGGGAAAATAGCCACTTTGAAGCCCTAACTATAGAAACAACTAGGAGTAAGGCTTAAGCGAGAATACACATTATTAACAATGATATGTTAAAGTTTCCTTCATTCTGCAGCAATGCTGCTCACCCAGTAAGACTTTTTGAAGTAATGATGGGAATGTTCTGTATCACTGCTGCCTAACAATGGAAGCCATTAGTCATATGTGTATACAGAGCATCTGAAATGTGCTAGTGTGACTGAGGAACTGACCCTTATTTTAAATTTAATTTAAATTTAAGTAGCTGTATGTGGCTAGTGTGTACCATATTGTACCTTTCAGCTTTATGGGATATTGTAGACTGATAGTTTCCCCCAAATTCATGTAAAAAGTCTTACGAATCTAGAATGTATAAAATCACTCATAAACTTTATGAGTGACAATAATAAATTAATAATATAATCACAGTTTATGATATTTGGCAATACTTAAGAAGAAATGTTTTGTAGGCAGGAGTCATATGACTAAGGAGAACTACTATTCTACAGCCACTTGAAGAACAGAGTTAACATTTTCACACCAAAAATAAAATGTAAATTAATTTTAAGACCAAAATATGATAGTTTCCTCTGTTACCCCGGGGCAGGGTGGGGTAGGGTGGTGCTGTCTCATAGCATATTCTCCCAGAGCTGGAAAAACTCTATTTAATGTTGGGTCTTTTTCAGAACTTTCTGAAGTCAAATAGATTCCCTATGGGGTAACTGCCATTTTGTTTGTTTTTATTTTTTATGGGGTGGAGAATAGGAATAGTGGTAAAAGACAGAAAGAGACCTAGGAAGAATAAAGAAAAGGTAAGGAAAGTGAACTGGAAATATTTTCTAGTAGATTAAGGTATGGGTAGATTTTATTTATTGCTTTGTGATGTTTGTTCTACTCTAAATCAGTGTTAATTCAGCGTTCTTTCCACTAACAATGAATGAAACTTAAACACATTTTCCTTTTTTTTGATACTGGGGATTGAATTCGGGATCTTGTGCCTGCAAGACAGGTGGCAGCACCACTGAGCTAAATCCCCAGCTCACTTGAACACATTTTCTGTCAAAAAATTCAAGTTTGAAAAAATAGACTAGATTCATATTCATTAATAATGGATAATAACATAACTACATCTCTGCTATGAATTTTAAGCACAAACCAAATTGAGTATAATTTATCTTTCAGTTTAAAAAAATTTGCTTAGATTCATATTGAAATATTATCTTAAATGACTTTAAAAACCAGAATCTTATTGAAATGGTAGTAATACTAGGAAATGAGAATTTAGCTATAACAAAAATAATGGCCAGCAGTATGGTACATTCGTGGGGTACCAAAACAGAATAAAAATATTATTATCAACTATATCAGTTTGGTGTTTGCTGATTTAACTTACCTTTAGCTTCCTCCTTGCATTGAATTTCCTCAGTTGTTCTACTGTTTCTGGAAGATGAATTTTGTAGGCATAACGATCCCGCTCCTATAAAAGAAGAAAGGTAATAAACATCTGTAACTGTTTGCAAAAGTGAAGAAGCTTACTATAAAAGGAACAATAGAGCCAAGATTCGTAAATGTAAAGCTAGATTAAATTCTAGGAGATTTTATTCCAAGATACTGGCAAGCATTGTGAAATGAGGGAATATGAAGGTTAAAGTTGATAATAAAATAATGTTTTGTTTTCAGCAATAATAAAGAACTGAAAATAATAGGACATCTAATTTTCAGATATATAGCTATGTGGCTAAAATAATTAATCATAATTGTTGTGAAAGTGACATGATTTTTGCAAGGCAAAGCAAGCATTTGAAAAATTAACTACACAACTGATTCAGCAGTCTATATTGTCTATATTGTCAGGAATTACTGGACTACTACAAAAGTCAGAGTCTTCCATCTAGAAAAAACCTTTCAACGCTATCTATGGTCCTCTTCAGTTCCTGATGGATGATCATTCTGCTTGACCTTTCTGGGTAAGAGATCGTTACTTTGTAGTGGTCCATTAGAATTTTAAGAAAAGAGTAAACTGAAATATTCTTTCTCAGCCTGAGCCCACACTTGACTTGTTTAGGCAAGCTCTGTCTTCTAGGCCAACACAGAGCAAACGTAATGTTTCCCATAGAATAGAGGGGAACCGTGTGCCCACTAAATCTGTTCGTTAAGATAACATTCCCAGCTGCCTCGATTTTTCTTGTCATTCTTCTCTTCCCTTTGGTTGTTCTCTAATTTGTCAACGTCGCTTGAAGATTTACATATTATAAGTATTCATTCATTCATTTTGTAAATATTTCTTAAGCAGCTACCATATATCAGGTATTGTTTTATGTTCTTGAGATACACAAGTAAAACTAACAAAGATTCCAGCCCTCATGTAGCTCATATTCTAGTCAGAAAAGATGAGAAAATACAAAAAAGGTAAATTACAGAATAACAAAAATGTACTGAATGAAACAAAAAAGGAAAAACTATCACTGCAATCAAGATAACAGATACATCCATTATTCCAAAGTTTTCTCATATCCTTTTGTAATCCCCACCCCCAGGAAACCACCATCTACTTTCTGTTGCTATAGCTTCGTTTGTATTTTCTAAACTTTATATAAATGGAATCATACAGTATGTGCCCAGCACTGTCCAGCTTCTTTCACTCAACATGATTTTGAACTCAACCAAGTTGTTAGCAGTTCATTTCTGTTTATTGCTGAGTAGCGTTCCAGCATATGGATGCACCATAATTTTTCTTTGCATCATGTTGATGGGTAATTTCCATTTTTGAGTATTACATATAGGCAACTACTATGAGTGGAGTGGCTGGAACATGTGATAAGAATATGTTTAACTTTTTAAGAGGCTGTCAAACCATTTTCCAAAGTGGCTGTACCATTTTACATTCCCACTAGCCAGTGTATGAGTTCCAGTTGTTTTATAACCTCGCCAAAACTTGGTACAGTATGGTTTTCTATTTTAGCCATTCTGCTGTTTATTGGTATTTTCCTAATGACTCATAATTCTGAGGATCTTTGTGCTTATCTGCCACCTGTGTATCTTCTTCATTGAAGTGTTGTTCAAATCTCATTCCATTTTGAATTGGATTGTATGGCTTCTCCTTGAGTTTTGAGAATTCTTTACATATTGCAAATATGAGTCCTTTATAAGATATATAATATTCAAATATTTATTTTCAATTTGTAGTTTTGTTTTTCATTCTCTTATTAGTGTCTTTCAAATATCAGAAGTTCTTCATTCTGCATATATTTTGAAAAGAGAGGACAGGATTTTCTGACAGATTGGACATGGGATGTAAGAGAAAGAGTCAACGATACCACCACATGCTAAGTTGTTTGGTGTCAACAACTAGAGGTCTGATACCAAATGAACTGGGAAGACCAGGGTAAGCAGCCTGAAAGATGCATGTCATGTCTAGATCCTAGACAAATGAGTATTAAAGTTGATCTTTGAAACATCCCTATTCACTTTCGCCCAATGTGTACTGCTTCAGTCAGAGTTACTGAAAATTTGGAAATTGATTTAAAAGTGGATTCCTAAGTGGCTATCCAGTGATAAGACTTCTAACAAGCATGTTTCATGTGATACCTCTACTAATTACTGTAAAAACGCTGGATATGATACATAAAGTAACTAATGGAAGACTCAAGGCTCTGAAAAAGAAGGTAGACTGGGCAGGGATCCTAGGGTGATCCTGGGCTGATTGATATTGGCATTTTTTTTTCTAACATACCCTAGCCTTGGTGTGAGAGCATCCTGTAACCTAGAAATTCCAGGGACAAGAAATGCAGAGCCCCAAGAAAAGCCCACTGAGAAGAGGCTGCCCCTGCAGAACTCTTCCCGTGTCTTTACTTTACCTCAGTATTGCTTGAAATTTATCTCACAGCCTGGATACGCATTCATCTCTCAAACAGATTGGGAGGTTTATTGTATCTCTGACCATAAACTCTGTGTCTAGTGAATCCCTTTCTTACCTTACCATTCACTAATGTGTAGTGGACAAGGAGATAATGACAAAGCCCAAAATATGTTTGATTTTCAAAATAAGATTATGCTTTAATTATAGTTTCTGATATTTTCCAAGTAGATGAAATCACAAGAGTTAAAAAGGTATTAATTAAAATATCTCCTACTAGAAAGCTAGTAAGCAATAAAAAAACCTCAAGGCATTATAAATGAGTCAAGAGTTAAAATATTTTTTCTGGATTAAATAATCCCTCTTTTATTTTTTTGGTACTGGGGAGCAAACTTGGGACCTTGTGCTTGCAAGGCAAGCGGCAGAACCACTGAGTTAAATTCCCAGCCCAAATAATCCCTCTTGACACTAATAATAATGTGATTTGAATTTAGCAAATTTTTAAAACAATATTTCCTGCATTTTGAGAAAGCACATGATTCACAAACCTTTGTGTATACTAAGTGCTAAGTACACATTTAATTAGTGTGTTGATTGATTTTTCTAAAATCCAAATTGATTAGCTTGATATTAATACACTTTTAACCTTTTATTACAGTCAATAAATTTTACAAGTCTTTCTTTGGTACCAGGGATCGAACTTAGGACTTTGTATTTGTGAGGCAGGCGTGGTGCCACTGAGCTAAATCCCTAGCCCGCTGAATTTTAAATGTCTATATGGTGACACTACAAAGAGTGTGAGAAGAGCTCAGTCCTTATGAGAAAAGCATAATCTTAGTTGACTAATTTTTGTTGGAGTGAGTATTTATAGAAAGTATTAATTTGGGTAAAGGTGCTCAACAGATATAATTTAATAATAATAAGACATTCACATATGACCTGGTCTAATATTCAAATTTTTTGGACATGAAATGATTAAACAGGGCTTTTGTTTAGTTTTATCAAAGAATTGATTCTTGGTTTTTTTGGACACAAACCGATGAATGGTATTATGACTTTAGGCACTTTCCATTATGAGAATTTTCATCATTCATCACTTCACTTTGCAGGTAGTCAGGATTTTTTCAGAATTAAACCTTAGCTTAAATTTTAGTTATTCTGAATCAACATCACTTACATCCACTATAATGAGATACAAATACACCTGGACAAGTACTGAAATATAACAGAAGCTTACTCCTGCCAGCTAGATAACCTTCTTGTTGAATTCCCCCATCTTCGGAGGACACATAAGCAGTGAAGTTAAACTTAGCTCAGATATGGCACATGACACTAAGCTCAAACAACCTTCTGAACTTTTTCATTTAAACTGTTAACATTCTTGTGTCTTATCTTTGTGGTGGCAGAAAATCTATTATGTATGAAGTTCAGATTATCTAGAAGAAGAACTATAATCGCGGGCAGGGATAAGAGTTACCAACAAAAATGTTATTGGTCAAGATAAGTTTTGATTATGAAAGTGTTAAAACATTTTCAAAAGATCTTAAAAGTGACTAAAGTGGCTGCCATTTAATTGCTATTTGGCATTTAGACTAGCTTCTAATGAACAAAAATATCCCATTATGGAAAAACAGAAAAGCAACTGAGAACATTTCATATCTGGGAGAAAAATACTAAGAAAGCATCTAAGAATTATTTATTTACTCTTTTTTTGTGGAAAATCAAGAATAATTCAGCCAGAGGGCTAAATGCATGGGGAACAGTAATATTCTTAAGGAAAATCAAGATCCATTGGAATTCCAAAATTGTTCTATAATATTATTCCACGTCACTGTCACTGAGATATAGTATTAAGCTATGTTTTAGTTTCTTTTTTCTTTTTTCTTTTTATTAAGCTATGTTTTAATAACTTATTGTTTTGTATAAACTCTGGGGAACAAGATGGTATAATACAGTAAACATTCATTCATTCATTAAATCATTAATATTTATTGGACACCTTCTACGTACCAGATATTTTCTAGCTTCTAGACAGAAGTGAACCCAGAGCTGAAAATATTTACCCTTATGCAGCTTATATTTTACGGGGTAGACAGATGATAAAGAAGTAAGGAACATGTCCTATAGTGTCACATGCTGTGGAGAAAATAAAGCAGGGAAGGGAGATAGGAATTCTGGTGGTGGCAACATTCCTTCCCTCAAATTTTAAAAAGCAGTCAGGGAATGTTTTTCTAAGAAGCTGGTATGTAAGCAAAGATCTGAAGACGGTGGGGAATAAGCCAGGAAGACACTTGGGGGAAGAGTGTTCTAGAGAAAGGGCATACCTAACACAGAGGGGCCGAGGCATGAATGTGCTTGTGGTCTGAGGCCAATATGACAGGAACTGAGTGAGAGAAGGGAAAAGTATAAAGAAGTGAAATCAGAAAGCTCTCAGGAAATCAAGCTGTATAGCAGATCAAGAAACAAAACAAAACAAAACAAAACAAACTTGCGGTGAGAGGCTCGGATTCAAGTCATGGGTGTATAGACGGTACTCAAAGCCAAGAAAACGAGATGAGGTCTCCAAGGGCATAAGTATAGATGGAGAAAAAGAGAAGGAGCAGGGACTGAGGCCAGTGGCACTCCAACCTCAAGAGATGAGAAAGGAGACAGGAGAACAAATCAGCAAGATCTGAGGAGGTGTAGCCAGAGTAGCAGATGGGAAACTAGAGCAGGTTTCCTGGAAGCCAAGGGAAGATGAGTGTTTCAAGAGGACGGATGTCCAATGTTGCTGCAAGGCCAACATTCTAGGGGATGTGACTCCTACATTTAACAATGTGAAGGGCGGTAGTGATTTGACAAGATCTCGGGTTTTTTGTTTATTTGTTTGTGCTGTTTTTGTGGTGCTGGGGCTAGAAACCAGAGCCTCATGTATGCTGGCCAAGTGCTGCACCACTGAGCTACTCTCCCAGCCTGAGAAGAGGTGGTTTAGTGGATTTGGTAGGACTGTGGCCATGACTACTGTGGGTTCAAGAGAAAAGAATGGGAGAAGGGGGAGGAAGTGAGCACAGAGAGCCCTATCTCTTAGTTTTGGTGTTATGACAAACAGAATAGGGGCAGAAGCTTCAGGGGGTTGTAGGATCAAGAGAAGGTATATGTAAATACGCATGTATATAAGTAATAAAATAAATTGCAGCATGTTAGATCTGAAAGAGACAGAAAACTGATGACTCAGGAAAGGAGAAAAGTGCTGTAACGATGTCACTGAGTAAGTGAAAATGACAGAATCCAGCATATAAATGTTAGGGAGGTGGATAGGCTGAGTTAAGATCCAGGTTCCACCACTGACAACTTCTGTTAGCTTAGGGCAAATTTTTTTTGGGGTGGGGCAAGATTATTAACCTCTCAGAGCATTAGTTTTCTTACCTATGCAGTAAGAATATCTTGGAATTACTGAACTGTATATTTTAATCAAACAGTACTATTTCACTTATGTATCAAGTTATAGGTTTTCTTAATACTCATTGGAAAGATGGAAGGAACATAAAAAGATTTTCTAAATGTACCTTTTCCCAAGGACAGTAAATTCATATCTAGTATCTATTGGAAAATAGTTAAAGTACATGGCCACACTGGAAATAGTTAACTAGTTTATTATAATATAGTATTATTTTAGTTGTTCAGATTGCATCTTTGAAAGACACGTTGGCAGAGAACAAACAGGCCTTCCTTTGGTATCTGTCTTAATCTGCTCTTGTACTCTTGTTTGCTGGCTGCTTGCCACTTGAATGTTTGTAGACGATGTGCAGGAACAGCAAACAGGATGATAAAAACTAATGGAAAATAGTCAGAAAAAAGAAAAGGTGGAAAGAGTCACCTTATAGAGCAGTACGTTATGGTCGCTGGAAGTGTTCTGACACAGTGTGGATGGTAACCTATGGCTTCACATACCTTAAGCCATGGGTGATTCAGTGCTTCATAAACAGTGATCCTCTCCGCTGGATCCAGCATCAGCATGCGACGTACTAGATCTTTGGCACTTTCAGAGATATGGCTCCACTGCCTTGGATTCATCTGAAGAGAAGAAAAGGAAAATTACGTAGTTATCATCGGTGAGAAATTAACAATTATTATTATTACTGTCTTTAATATTCCTATATTGTTTCAGTGTGAATAAAATTCTCAGAGCAAAGAACAGAAATCTGCTTCTAAAAGACTGCTTTCTGAGGAAGAAGAGGACAACCACAATTCTTTGTTGTTTATTATATGAGAATATGCATCAGTGAATATTCCATGCATGTTTTTGTTATCGTATTGTTATATCTTCAGTAATTAAAGGATAGAATGCTCATGACTCCAGTTTCTATCTTAGATATTTTCAGCTAAAGAGACTAGCATATCATAATCCAGAAAGGACTAAAATAAAATTTTAAAATTGGGATCAGTAATTGTGAAACTAGGAAGAATCATTAATAGAATATTTTGGTCGGGTTATGCAAAATTCATTATTTAGGAAAATATACTATTACTATAACCCTACAAAATAGCTAATGCACTCATACACTGTCCTCAGTGAAGTTACTTTTGTCTTTCTTTTAGAGATGCAACAATGAAACAAGGTAAACTGACTAAAATCAAACAAAAACAATTATGAGTTGTCTGAAAGACCTCTGAGAGATAGTAAGGGTCTGTAAAGAAAAAGCTGAAAGGCTCCCAGGAAAGAGGTCATGGCTGAGAAATCAGAAAAAAAAAATTCAGAGTGCTTAAGGTGACAGGAGACAGGGATAGAGTAGGGTCTTGTTCCCTACTTGGCATCAGGAAGCTATGGGACTGCAAGAGCTGATAGGAGCTGCCTGATGCCGGGAACTTTAAGCAATGTCATAGCTTTTTTTCTTTCTTTTTCTGGTGCTGGAGATTGAACCCAGGTCTTCACACATGTGGCACAAATGCTCCTCCACTGAGATACAGCCCCAGCCCCGTGTCCAGGCTTTAACCATATATACCTATACTGCCTTTTAGAGGAGGAAGATGGAGAATAACCTCCATAACAATTTAAAGCCAAATGAAATCACTGTACTTGCCTTTGCAGCACGAAGGAATTAACCCAATTTGGCCAAGGGCTAGCAACAGACACAGCTCTAGCTAAGGTGAGGTGTGCTTCTATCTGGAGATGAGGAAGGAAAAGTGTTTCCATGTCAGGGATAACTTTTTTTTTCTTTTTATTGAGTTTATTGGTACATTCTAGGGATACAGTATAGTTACATTCATCATTGGGATCTTATACCTTTACATGACAGGTCTTGGTTCTCATTTTTCCCCTTGGCCCTGTAGGGATAACTCTTAAAAGTGGGGGCTGTTACATTTTCTTTTCCAAACAGGCAGATTTCCAAATAGCAGTAACTTTTAGCTGTCAAATTCCATGAAGGTAAATGTCATGAGATGGTGTAACATTGTCATCTTCCCGGCACTGTGGTCAATTGACCAGCTTGGAATAAGAAGGTAACTAGACAGGGCTTGATAGTCTTGCTCTCCCTTTCCCATCTTGGGATCGATGTGCTTTTTTCTTTTTTTACAGGAACACCAAAACAAGTCTCTATTTTCTGGGCCTGTGCTATAGAGCACAGTGGGGTTAGTACACAGGAGGGAGCCCTCCTAGACTAAAACCCCAGAAGTGCCTGAAGTGCTGCTTATGTAGCAGCTTGCAGGCCTATTCTAGAGAAGAAGGGCTGAAACCAGGAAATCTTTTGGGAGGCTTGCTGGGAATGTCGGGGATGCAAGTAAGAGGCCCAGTTCCCTTCTTTGCTGGTCTCGATGTGCTCTTGAAAGTCAGATGGCTACTTGTGACAATGGTATGAGATGCCCCTGCACCATATGTAGAAATGTAAGTAGTTAGGTAAATACTATTTTCGTCCTTTATTTAAAAGGTATTTTAATTGAGTTTAATGTTAGCATGTATTTCAGTTAAATGGTAGTCTCTGACATTTACCTTAAAATATCAACTAAGCTAGCAAATGAGAATGAAAGTCAATTAAAATAATTAAATTAATTTTAAGAGCAGTAGCAGCTTATAATTTGAAGAAACAGTATTTAAAAGATGTCATCTAATTCTTCTTGAAAATATCCATTAAGATCAAGGATTTTGTTAGCAGTTCTTTTGTTAAGAACCACCAAGTTTCTGAAAGGATTTTCTTTTTTGAGATCTGGTTTAAAATAATCTAGTATGATGTAGAATACAGATATAGAGCAAAAGGGAATGGGACCAGGAGATGGAAGAGACAGAGGAGCAGAGGGGAAAGGGATAAAAAATAAAGAACATTCTACAATCTTTAAAAATAAAATAAAATGGAAAATAATGTTTTTTTGTTTGCTTTGGATTTTTGAGACACTCTGTGGTATAGGCTGGCCTTGAACTCACTATGTAGCTCTAGGATGGCCTGAAACTCACAGAGATCCTGCTGCCTCAGCCTCCCAAGTACTGGGATTAAACATATGTGCCACTGTGCCCAGCTAAGAAAAATAATTTGCCTAATATAATCATTGGCAATTTCTTTAAATACCAGATCTTAGGTAAATTGAAATCCACATTTAAATTGTAATATAATGCTTTGAAGATGAGGCCAGCAATAAATTCAAAGAATGTATTGCTAAGTAAATTTTTAAAAAAAATTGGCTATATTTTTAACTATTGAAGCTAGGGTTCTCTACTCCCCCCCACCAGTACTGGGGACTGAACTCAGGGAATCTGTACTGAGGTATATGCTCAGCCCCTTTTTTATTTTGAGACACTGCCTTGCTAAAGTCACTAAATTGCCCAGGCTGGACAACTAAACTTGCAATCCTCCTGCCTCAACCTTCCAAAGTGCTGGCATTACAGGCCTACACCACCATGCCTGGCTTCTCTACTCTATAATAAAAAGTAACAATGAACATATATCTATATTTTAAAGACTTATGAGGTTCATCATAGGAGGCAGAGATGAATCTATACTTCAAACTAAGCTGCTGAAAAGCCAGGCCTTTCCATAAGGAAAGCCCTGACTAAGAGGCAAGATTAGCCAAGTAAAACAGCAAAGTTACTAACAGTAAATAACTTTCTAACCTAGGTACAGAAATTATGATATAGCTGCCACCATCCATTTTACCACAGTACTGTTATTATTTCTTTGGAAGACGGAATTTTAAAATAATTTAATTTTTGGCCAAGAAACAAAAATAACTATTCAGTATTTTAAAAATAGACAAAATCAAATACCACACACTGTTGGAGTGAAGTACATTGCCTTGGAAACCAGGAAGTTTAGCAACTGAACAAGCACAAAAGACGAATTCTATTGTTAGCAAATGCTTCTAACTCAAAAAGGCAGGTGGGAGACTTAAATATATGGTACCGATGTCATAAATCACTGAGAGGATTAAATGAGTTAATCACAGAAGAAGAAATACAAATGGTCAACAAATATATGAAGAAATGTTCAACATCTTTGGCCATCAGAGAAATGCACATTAAGACAACCCTAAGATTCTATTTTATTCCAGAAAGAATGGCAATCATTAAGAAATCAAAAAACAAATGCTGGTGTGGCTGTGATGAAAAAGGAAGCCTCCTTCATTGTTGGTGGGAATGTAAACTAGTACAGCCATTATGGAAATCAGTGTGGAGATTTCTCAAAGAACTGAAATTAGAAATTCCTTGTGACCCAACTATATATGCTAGGTATTTTCCTCAAAAAGCCTAAGTCACTATACTACAGCAAGACATGCATACCAACATTTATAGCAGCACTATTCATAGTAGCTAAATCCAGGAAGCAGCTATATATCCATTAACAGACAATTAGATTAAAAAATGTGGTATCTATCTATATATAATGGAATACTACTCAGCTGAAAGAATGACGGATTTGAGACATCTGTAGGCAAATGGATGTACCTGGAAAATATAATGTTGAGTGAAATAAACCAGACACACAAGCTTAAATACTGTATAGTATCTCTCATTTGAGTGAAGCAAAGTACAAAGGGAATAATAAGGAATGGACAGAAGGGGAAAAGGGGGTGAATCTTTTTTTTTTTTGTTTTTTTTGAGACAGGGTCTCACTGTGTAGTTGAGACTGACCTGGAACTCACTATGTAGCCCAGGCTGGTCTCGAACTCACAGTGATCCTCCTGCCTCAGCCTCCCGAGTGCTGGGATTACAGGCATGCGCCACCACGCCTGGCTTAGGGGGTGCATCTCTTGCAATAAGGAAGAGGACCAAAGGAACAAGAGTAAGGGGCAAGGAGGAGGGGAAGGGGAAATGAGAATCAAGAAATGCCATGTACAAGATCCTAATAACCTCAATTAATATAAATATTATATACCATAAGATGTCCTAAGATTAATAATATCAACAATGAAAATTAGGATAGGGAGCTGGAGGAGGAAGAGGGGGGAGAGGAAAGTTATTAAAAAAAAAAGAAACAAACTGCAGTATGTGCATGTAACCACTCCCTAAGAGAACTGTAAACTGCATGTACCGCAAACATGTATGAATAAAAAGAAAATTTAAAAAAAGGCACTTAGAGCAGTTTCTGGCAATACTAAGTGCTGTTTCAGTTAACTGTCATTACTGCTATTATTATTATTGTTATTATTATTATTATATTAGTAATTATTATTACTCCTTACCAGGCTATGGGTCTACCCTGTAAACAGAAAGCTTTCTTCTGATTGGATAACTGGATGGCAGCCCTCCAGTGAGCAGAGACGGACGCTAACTTCAAAACACACCTTTCAGGATAATTTGATCTCAGTAGAAAAATAAAATGATCTGATTATATTACCTTATATTTTCCTTTAATGATGCCTTCAAACAATCTTTCCTTGGTTCCGTAAAAAGGCAAACAACCGCTGAGCAGGATGAAAAGGATCACGCCGCAACCCCAGACGTCCACGGGCTTTCCATAAGGCTCTCTTTTGACCACCTCTGGGGCCATAAAGTGAGGTGTTCCAACACGCCCTACATTTAAAACAATGATAGTATTAAGGAAAATTGTTTACATAAAATAAGGCTTTCCACTTGAAAACTGAAAATAATAGAACAATAGCAATCTGAACAAAAAGTTTACATATATATATGTATATACACACATATACATATGTAAACCTCCTCTCCCCATTAAATGAAGTTAACAAAAGGAAAAAAAATTATGAATCATCTCTTGAAATTTTCAAACCAGGATAGGACCTGGTACTTACTCCCTCTGGAATTCTGCACGCTACATAGTAGGCACTCATGTATTTCTTGCTTGAAGAAGTTTAAATTTTCTAATTTGGAGCACGGGCAGGTGCAAGAGTTAGTAGGCAGAGTCTGTACCAGCCAAGAAGAGATGAGAGGGTTGCCTCCAGCAGAGGCAGAGTCAGGGAGAGGAGAGGGCAGGAGGGAGAAAAAGACCATGGCAAAACATAACTTCTAATTGCCAAGTGGAAATTCCCCAGGAAACCTAATGCAGAAACCTTTGGAATATTAATTTAAATCTGTAATACTGTTCAGTTAATTTTATGAGTTGATAGAAGCAATTAATAATGGTTCGTGGTATTTGTTAGAATAGAAATTCTTAGCTTCCTCCTAACATTTGAAGGGAATGAGAGCAAATAAATGACATACACTAAAGTAAAACCACGAGGCTCCTCCCATTCAATCCTCTTTGACCTTGGACTTTCTTTAAAGAGCTCCCTCCCCATAAAAACTAGTTTTCCAGAAGGAATCTGATATGTTGTTTGCACATTAATTAATATCAATCTCTACCTCATTATCCTAAAGGGAGTCTTTTTTGTCTACTGTGAAATAAAAGGCTTGAACCCTGTAGGGAAATTTCTGTGGGACAGGGCACTGTCCACTAGACTTGGCAGCCCTTTTAGATGTTTGCAAGCCCAGCTTCCTTCCTTCCTCTTTCTGTGTCTGTCTGTTATCACACTGAATTTAAGATAATTTTTACTTTGAAGATTGCACAACATTTTGAGCTCAGAATTGTGGTTCAGAGTTTAAAAAGAACTTAAGAGATCTTCTGGTCCAGCTACAGAGAACCACCAAAGTCTCTTAATGGTTATCAAACCTAGTTGGAACAGAAAGGGACAGAGCAGGTCTTAGCTTCATGTTGAGGATGTTGTTTGCTGCAGATCATTATGGTTTCCCTACCTGCCCCCATAATAGAAGACGGTAAGTTCAGGGCTTTGATAGTGAAAATATCTTCATTTAAAATGTACAGTAGATCAGTGAAAACTCTGTACTGGTTAGGACTTGGGTAGAGAAATTCTTATTTCTGGATTGTCCTGTTTTGCCTTTTCAAGTAGCATAAAGAAGCTGAAGCGATGGGAGCTAAGTCACTTACGTTCTTAGCAGTTTGGACAGAGAGACAGGGAAAGGCCCCTGTAGCCTTATTCTCATGGACAAAAGCTGGTAGGAGTAGGGAAAAGCAGGATAAGAGCTCAGGGTACTACTCAAGGGTACTAGTACTGGGACACTCTCAGGTACCTGCTGAGGGCTCAGATGAGGCTTTGAAACTCAACTTGACTCCTACTACTTTCCACACCAGAAAAGGCCAGGTGACTCAAAACAGGAGCTTCAATCAGTAAATAATCAGAACCACCATGGCCAGAATGAGGAGGTTCTCTCTATCTCTCTGGATTGAAGACTGTCCAATTTTTGAGAGTTAGTGCTCATTCTTGGGGAAGATGTATGTCTTCAGATTCAACACTTTGCTTAGAGATGATAGAGGGAAACATCATGGCGGAAAGAATATACAGAAATGCTCTTTTTATTTCAAGTATATCAATATGAAAAGCACTGGAGGTAATCTTTAATATACATGGACTTCCCCAAACTCCTATTGCTGCTGTTATTGTCCTTCTTTGTGACCACCTGACTTTATGACTTTGACTACAAAATTTTAAGAAAAGGAAGCCAGTTACTAAACCAAATTAAATGTCACTATAAGTGAAATACTCTATGTTTTTAAATATTATAGTTTGACACTATAGTTAAACCTTCCAACCTAGAACCCTGGGGAAGGTATTGTTCTGAATAGCTACATTTTCAATACTTTTAGGATTTTAATCTTTACATATATAACCCTTTTTACTTTAACAATTTTATATGGCCATCTTTCTACAATTTCCTGACTTCTTTTGCACAGGGTGTTGCACAGAATGTAAACTTTCTTTCTTTTTTTTTTTTTTTACTGGGGATCAAACTTCGACCTTGCACTTGCAAGGCAGGCAGCGGAACCACTGAGCTAAAACCCCAGCTAAATAAACTTTTCTTGATGACTTCACGTTGTTATTGATGTCAATTAAAGAACTACAATGTGGAACAGAAAGCACCGTAAGGAACTGGAAAGGTATGTACGGGCTGCCCTCTTTGGTATTAAAAGGCTAGTGTGCTTTCCAAGTTTTGGGTTTGTGTGATATGTATATATATATATATATATGCACACATTTTTTTTCATTTCTTTTCTCTAACTATGCTACTCCAGTCCTGGCCTCTCTTAATTTTTTATTTATAATCTGCACAATACTTAATTGAATGGAAACTCATTACCAACCACACTCTTTACTTTCATAGCAATTTCTCAAGTACTTGCTAGCTCCTAGACACCATAGTAGGCACTGTAGACACATGGGAATAAGCCATGGTTTACTACCTCTTACAAATCTCAGTCTTTGCTATGATTACCAATACCTGCATCAAATGCTACATGGAGCTATAGAGCCCAGATAGTTCTGGTAATATGGAAGAGAAGGAAGAGAAGTTAGGGCTACTTAACTTTTCAATCAATGGGTAAGAGCATTCTGCTTTTAAGAGGAGACAATTGTCAGTGCAGCCTTCAATAACAGTAGGAATTAATGTGACAAGCTAAATGACAAAAAGCATTTTTTTTATTTTTTGGGGTTTTCCTTTTTGAGACAGGGTCTCACTCTATAGTTCAGGTTGGTCTTGAACTCACTGCATAGTCCAGGCTGGCCTTGAGCTCACGGCAATCCTCCTCCTCCCTTTGCGTCCCTAGTGCTGGGATTACAGGTGTGTGCTACCAACCTGGCTCAAAAAGCACTTCATTTAGAGTGACTAGCAGGTAGAAGTTATGAAGGAACATGAATGTATACACTTTTATGAAAAATTCTCTTTTATGAAAGTCTTGAGATGCTCATCTGAGAGGACCACAAATGGGTTTTAAAGGTAGGAAAATGCTTGCTGTTATAATTATCTTCTAGGTTCCTAATTATGTTCTAGATAAAAGAGTTCTCCAAATTGAGTTTCAGATAGGGACAATATAAATCTATTACATTTTTTGTTTTACCGTATGGAAAATATCAAGGAGAGAATACCTTTCTATGTGGAGGACTGGATGTTCAAAGATTCAAACTGACAAATAGCTTTCTGTTTCAAAGCTGATAAATATTAGTAAAATTTCAAAAGCACCTTAAACAGCAAGAAAGTTTTTTGTAAGGGAAATCATTTATCCCTTACTCATACTGTATTTTAAAAAAACTTACAGTTAACTTAAAAATGCTTAGAGTAATTATTCAAGTATATGAGGAAAGCTATGTTAAGCAATGATATTTTTACTACCATAAGTTTTTTTAAAATTCTAGAGAAAAGAGAATAATGCATTTTGAATAAGTGACACACTAGAAGTTGAAAACTAGCTTTAAAAATACAATTTAAGGTTAGGGTCCACGGACTTTAGGAAAATAGCTTAACATAAAACATCCAAGTAAATCTAATGAATCTACTTTTGTCATTTAATCAAGAATGCATATTAAAAACAGAGTCCATGACATTATGATTACTAACAAAATACAGATCCAGAGTAACAAAAGCAAAATCATTATACATGGCCACTGCATAACATACAAAAGAATTAATTTCATTTCATGTTATCTGATATCATCTCATTAACCTTGGGAATCAGAAATTATGCATTATTATTGTACAGTATTAACACAGGGGTGATCTATACAAATACCAGATTTGAGAGATTTGGTTTAATAGCAACATTTATTTAGAAAAAATAATTTAGGGTTTTTAATTGATTGCAAGATCAATAGGAGCTAGCAGTGTTGTGTGATTGTTCAAACAACTAATGCAATTTAGGGAGTCTGATAAAATGTTAAGACCTAGAAAAAAACAAGTGTTGGCCCAATGGTACTGTGCAGTGGACGAAGTGGACCTGTAGTCATGGTGTTTCATTCAGGCCCTGCCCTTTGTTAAGAGATTTGAAACCAGCTTATACGAGGAATGGCTACATTAACCTAGGGAAGTAACTTGGACAATACTTAGGGGGAATTGGTAGATGCCTTCAAACATCTGAAGGCGACCATCTGGAAGGATGAAAATTGTGTTAGAGTGATTTCAAAAGTCAGAATCAGGACTACTGGATGGAAGATGGATTTCTGTTCAATAGAGGAACAAATTTTTCAATACTGTACTTAAGGACTTCTCCAAAAATGAAATGAACTGTCCCAAGGCATAATGAATTCTTTGCCACTGGGGAAATTAAACCAGAAATGAACGCTTTGTTGACAATATTATGGGAGAATTCACTCACTGGTTATAAGACTGAAGAAGGTGAGTTCCCTGGAGTCCCTGGGAATCAATGATTCTGTGAGTAAACTGTGCTTTACTACATGACTCTGGTCAGACTTCCAATCATTTACAAAAAGTTTTGAATTAAGAAAAAAAAGGAGCTCATTTTTCAGAAGATGGTCTATGTTATTACTACTCAATTATCTAGCTATAATCAATTACGTTGAATGAAATATCCTGTGTAAGAGATTATTACTTTGATATTTATAATTTGTCAGGTATTTGAATTTAACACAAGCTGTCCTGAAGGATGAAGAGTTTAAAGAAGTTCTGCTGATATTTTTCCTTTCGTGAGGACTGGCAGTACTTGAAAAAGCAAAAAACATTTACTATAAGACTAATAGTGTGCAGAATGGGGAATTGTATAATTTGCAAAGCTAAGGAATACAACTAAAAACAGGGCAGCATTCTAAGCTGGAGTCTATTGAGAGGAACAAATAAAAATCCGAATACTTGAATCTGTAATTAGTATCCCTTTGTACATTTGTGAAAAAATTTTTTATTTTAAATTTTCCCTTTTATTCTGGTATGAGAATTCTTTTTTTTTTTTTTTTTTGGTTTTTTGGAGACATGGTCTCACTATGTAGTTGAGTCTGACCTGGAACTCACTATGTAGCCCAGGCTGGTCTTGAACTCCCAGCGATCCTCCTGCCTCAGCCTCCCAAGTGCTGGGATTACAGGGATGCACCACCACGCCTGGCTGAGAATTCTTAAATTACATTTTATACTGGTTAACAATAAAACCAGCCTGTATCAATACTTCTTTGCAAATATACAGGTTGATAGTATGAGTAAGATTCTCTGATAAATGGAAAAAGGAAAACAGTATATAATTAAAAATTGACCATAGATATAAACCTGAAAGTGGCTAATCCACACATTCTAGATTTGATTTCCTTTGGCTGATTCAATTATAAAAGCTTCTATGTCCCAAATATTGTCTTTGAAAACAGTTCTAATCGATGTTTCATTTTTTCTAAACAATTTTTTTTTTGGTGCTGGAAACCAGAGCCTTGAACTACACTCCTAGCCCCACAATCTAGTCTTAAAGACCTAAAATTTTAATGATGAGTATTGAGTTATTAAATTCAAAACTGTCTGATGGTACTTTTTTTTGGGTGGGATGGAATGCAGGATGAAACACCATGTATGGGATAATATTTGGTTTGAAACTTTCACACCAGCCTAAAAGTGACAAGGGTTTGGAGGAAATATTTTCAAAAATGGTCTTACCTCCAGCGACAAGTCCAGATTCTCCTAATTGAATAGCTACCCCAAATCCCCCAAGTTTAACAGGTGCTGAGTTTTCTTTCGAGGCAAGGAGAACACAGTGGGGCTGAAAAGAAAAACAGATGGACAAACTAAGAGAATACAAACCCAAAGATAAAGATTAATTGAAGATGAACAATTCAATTCACACAAAACTGAATAATATTGACAATATAGTAATATTTTTTAAAATTCTGAATCAGTTTGCATGCTTGAAATATTTGTCCTATTATGACATCTGGCTGATTTCTCCAAACACTTACCCATTTTAGCCAATATTTTAGGAATTATTTCATTCTAAGGTTAGAGTATGGTGCTAAGAATTACTCAGAAAGCATGGATGTTCAGGAAACAGAGGTTTTCCATCTTTTTTGGGCAATATTCTCTTTCTTTGGCTGACAGTCTAGATTTGTTTCAGGAAAAACATGTTATACTGCCTGTCAAAATGTCTCTTGAAACCTCTGACTTTACCTACAAAACCACTTTATCTTGGTCCTTAGGGACTGGGCTGCTGATGGTCCTTTCTTTGTCCACCTTCTCTTGTCATCTTTCCTTTATTTATTTCACCTCTAAGAGGAGAACCAAACAGATGTTTGCATTTAGTGACTTTAACTGAGCCTTGTTGCCTGCAAATTCAATGTTCTCCCTAGGCGTACCTCTTCTCTGGACCTGCCTTTCCTCTCTGGGTGTGGGAGGTAAAGAAAGAGAAGGGAGAAGAGAGACCACTTGGCTAGCTGCTCATCCAGGGCAATCTTCCTCAAGAAACAGTCGTTTTGATCAGGGCTTCCTACCATTAAGAGCCTCATCTTTTTCTGGAAGAAATATTTTTTAAAAGGAGGAGGAAGCTGTGTTAGAAAAGAATGTAATTGTGGGGATCGCTGGTCTCTGTTCAAATCCTATGCTCCCTAATATGCCAAATACTACATCTGACCTGCTCTCAAAATATGGACTAGTAAAAAAAGTCAAGCTTCTTTAGGCATAGAAGACAAATATGTTTTTTATTGTCTCTTATACATTCTCATTCATGAAATGATAGTTTTGGCTGACATGGAAGTTGGTATGAAGAAAAAAATCTGCACTATAAAACTGAGTCGGTGTACTCAGACAGGTATTTGATGATGATATTTAGGTATATAGATATATCATATCAGGGGAAATCCTTATTCTGCCTAATCAGAGCATCAGGATTCAACTTTAAAAGTTACTCTTGCTGTCCAAAGAAGTTTAAAGGCCTTTACAAAGAGTTTAGCATGAAGAAAAATGAGCCCTCAAATATCAGAACATATGAGTGTGTGAGAGCAACAGAAAGGGAAGAAAGAGAAACAAGCATTCAAAGGAATAGTGAGAAAAGCATAGCATGACAAAGCATTAAGAAGTCTACGGGAGAGCAAGCAAATCTCTACAGAAATCAGCTGGTGATGATTCCTCTCAGTAGTAACTTCAGTTGGTTCAAGCAGACGAGCACGAGAAAAGATTGACTATGAAAGCGACAGCCCTGTGTCTTGGTCACTTTCCTGTCACTGGGACATAATACCTGGCATCCACACCTTAAGAGGGCAAGTTTACTTTGGCTCACAGTGACAGTCCATGGTTGGCTGGCTCCCAGGCAAAATCAACATGGCACAGGGGCATAGCTGGATCAAAGCTGCTCACATCATGGTGGCCAGGAAGCAGAGAGAGAAGAGAGGGACTAGGGAGGGAGATCCACGCTTCTGCTCCATCCCACTACTCCTCTTCACTGACCAGGCCCCACCTCCTAGTAGCGCCTCAGGTAAAATGCCTTCACATGATCCAATCGCTTTCTAAAAGCCCTGCCTCTGAGCACACGAGACTTTTGGGGGTCATTCTTGATCTAAACCATAATACCTTGGTATGACTGTAGTGTAGGACACAGCAGATAAATATGCCTAGGAAAAGATAAGCAGAAGCAGAAGGAGAAGGAGGAGGAGAGGAAGAAGGAGGAGAGGAGGAGGAAGAGTAAAGAGGAGGAAGAAGAAGAAGAGGAAAAAGAAAGGGAAGAGGAAGAGG